ATGAATGTCAATTCCTTATATATAACATGATGATCAAAATAAGTACAACAAAGCACCTTTGAAAGTTCGAGTTAAAATGGACCTAATATATCCCAACGCATGTTGTAAGAGGCGACTAAGGTGGGGTCCTCTGCACTTCTGCTGAAGGGACATTGGCGAAACCATGATTAGACATGGTGTACCACATTGCATGCTGTAAAAGTCGACTAATTTCGTCCTCCTTCACTTCCAGAATCTTTGTTTTCTTCAATATCGTAATCTGTCTGGAGGACATTGAAGACAAAACAGAAATTGATCAGCTGTCCCTATTATGTCATTTTGGACCTACAATTTCACTTTGTTTTTGTCTTCCGACTCACTTTTTGATAAATCTTAGCTGTGGCGAGGACGTCAAATCCCAAACACACGCTGAACTGTCTCATGTCCGTATACTATTGCAAATTTAAACGGACGGTTATGGTGAGCTATATTCATAGCAGACGAGTCGATTTTCATATAGTGAGCATAGATTGTGTATACACTATATATTTTACCCAAAACAACATTTGTAGGTACGTTTCGGTTTTTAAATAAGATAAGCAGAAAAGATCGTTGTATCATCGGTTATGTCCATCAAGTTTTCTCTATTCCCTATTACGTCATTTGGGACTTTTTCACTTTTTTTGTCTTCCGACTCACTTTTTGGTGATGTTTTTTATATAGTGAACATAGATTGAGGCATACACAAGCGTCGATATTGATCTGGCGAATTACATGTGTTTCCGATATAAGAACTTGTTGCTTTATTTGAACACTAGATTTAAAGCTTTTTCTTTCTATTTTTAAAACAAAATCAAACTCTTTTTTTTTTAAACAAAATCAACACGAACAAAATGAATGACTGCGTGTGTGCGTGTTTACTTTATATTTTACCCCAAACAATCTTATCATGTACCTTTCGGTTTTTAAATAAGATAAGCTGAAAAGATCGTTGTATTATCGCTAACGTCCGATTTCTCTATCTACTAACAATCAAGCGCCTTTTTTGGCTGTGCCAATGGTTCTGTCCTCTACCCGATTGTTGGGCAACATTCCGACCAAATTAATTTCTAAATTAATTATATATTCCCCATCGTTAGAATAACTAACCGCAATACATATGGGTCCGATTTAACATCCCACTCTCAATCACATATCCCAGACCCAGAAGTATAACCTAGGTTGATCCAGATAGAAAGTGATAAGTGGCCATCGGTGTCAGATGTTGGTCACATAAATAAGATAACAGGTCACGAGCTTCTTATGTCTCCATAACTAATAAAGAATGACCCTTTTTGTAGCCGACCCGTAGTTTGTATTGTTGTGATGGGTTTCCTCTTGACCAAAGGCATGTATCTATTGAAGGGCGCTGTAAACCACAGGCGTGTGTGTATTGGCGACTTAGATTTGTTGACTTGTTGAAAGAATTCCTTCTGTACCAATAGTATGGATTGTTGTACTGTGATGATTTTCCGAAATGTTGTCGTGTTGACTCGTTGCAAATTTACATTGTACTTGCGTCATTACATCTCTCTTTTCTTATCTATTTTAAATGATTTGTTAAAATTATTTTGCTTTGTTGTTCATGATTGTTTGCCGAGGCGGATGTCATCGGCTCAATGTTGTATAAATCGCTTTGAGTTGGTTTTATTTTGTTTAACGTCTTTTTAACTGCTTAGGTCATTTAAGGGCATGCATCCGTGTTATTGTGGATGCATGCATGTGTGTATCTGTTCCGGGAACAGGGCTTGTTGGTGTACTTGCCTGCTTGTGATAGTGTGGATCTGATGCCGACTTTATAGTGCTATCTCAGTAAAATACCAGGCCGAAGGCACCTAGCACAGCATTCCGACCGGTCACATTTTACTCACAACGGATAAACCAGTTGTTGCCATTACCATTAAATCTGAACGTTAAGAAGGGCATTGCAAAGAAAGGCGCTAAGTAATCAAAGGCAATTAGAAGTAGAGGGAAATGTAGAGATACCAAATATTGCAATGGATGCAGCAGGTTCATTTTGTTTTTGTGCCCCCTTATTAGAGGGCAAAAAATCAAATCCCCAATTATGCAGGGGTTCCCACATTAGTCGCCTTTTACGATACATGCAGTATGTTACAGCAGGTGTATTCTTTTCCCGATCCCCGACCTGTAGCGGTGAAGTCACCCATCTATAGATATTGCTTTACACCACAATGTAACACCAAAGAATTGATTGATATTTGTAAACGTAGCATTTCAAATTCATTAAAACATTGCTATTTCAATGCTCCTTGAACGATGAATACTTTATCAATTGCATACAACAGATAAGAGAAGATTCCAAACGTGGCTTCCCCTTGATTTCTATAAAAACAACAACAACAACAACAACAAAAACACACAATTCGGTTTTTGTACTTTATAACCTGTCAAGGTGAATAGCACGAAGTTATCTGTACAGAACAAAGACCACAAAAAGACGTTTCCCGGTGATATTATAGTGTCGAGAAGGTTTTATGGAAAGCGTTTATGTACAGGTGTGTCATAAATGGCTATCGATTTGTTATGGCGTGGCGTTAACAGAACCCATCAAATCGTTTGTTCTCCTTTCAAGACATAATTTTAAACTGGTGTATGTATCAAGATATTATATTACGCTGATGCATGCATCAAGACATATTTTTGACCGGTGTATGCGGCAAGACTTTATACTAAACTGGTGCATGCATCGATGCATTAATTCCGCAAGAAAAGGCATGTCTGCTTCAATTAATATTCATAACCTTTTTTTGACACACGCAAAAAGTTATGACAAAAGAAGTAATACAGACACCTTAACAAGTTTAACAAGAAATGGGGAATAGGAGTTCCGTCATGTACATTGCGTTCTTCAACATTCCCTGCTTATTTATAGCAAGAGTTTCAAAGTTGAATATCATACATAATCAAACATCTATTTAGTTCGGCAAATATAAACAAGAGCACTTTTTTTTCGTTGTGTAATGCATGTATGTTAGGAACAAAAGTCTTCATATTATGTTTGTGGTCGGTTTATGTAATAGTACGGCTGACGTCCTCAAATATCACGTCCTCAAATCGAGAACCGTGGTAAATTCACAAGGCATATTTACAAACAACATCGATCTGATTCGATGAGACGCTTGATCCTGATGAGATGTTTTGGAACAGGTTAGACATTAACTAGTACTATATGGCAAGTGTATCGGCGGAATAACTATAAAAAGTACTTATATATATATATTACCGGACCCAAAATTAAGAGTATTATCGAATTTTAACATATAAGCGAATTGACAAGTTGGCACACTCAAAAACTATGCAGTAGAAAATTATATGCAGGATTTTCAAGTAAGTGTGTATGACAGATAAAAGATAAATAAAATAAAATAAAAACTAAAGAGTATTTGTACAAAGAGCGGGATATTTAAATTGCAACTGTTTAGATGGTTATTTCACTTAACCTCTTCATCCTTAAATAATGCACGGATATCAGCCTCGTTAAACATTACCACGTAATATAGTACTTCAACATTTATATTACCGTATCAAGTAGTAACAAATACAGAGGCCGGTACCTGTGGTAAATGAACAGAGGGGATAAGATACGGACGAAAGTTCAAAGAGCATAAATACGGTCACTGGGTAAGTGGACGCTTGTCTGCGGATCTGGATTAGCGGCTTTTTCAGTTCGCTCATATCCTGGTTTCACAGATAAGACTAACAAAGAGTTATGAATTAGCTTGCATGATTACATATGATGGGACATCGTACCTTGTTGAGCAAGTCGGCACCTGGAGATAAACCCACTTGAGTATGCGACAACTATATTTCTTTATTGACAAAATTAATCTCATATTTCTGTAAAACAGTTTACAGTCTCATTTTCGGTACCTATCTAAAGACCTGAAAACTACCTTAAAACCAGTTTTTAGAGTTTCAGTCAACCGGTCATTGTAATTAGATTAAGCTTCATTTTTTACACTTCCTGTTTTCTCCTATGCGTTCATTGTGAAAATATATTATTTTAAGTCTTGAGTGTCTACCCGTTTAATCCTGGTGCAGGAATCAAGACATTATATTTAAGTTAACTGAAGCATAAGATATAATTGTATACTGGTGTATGTAGCATGACATTCTATTAGACTGGTGTATGCATCAAGACATTATATTAAACTAATGCATACATCAGGACATAATGTTAGACGGGTTTGTGCATCAAGACATTATATTAAACTGATGCATGCATCAACACATGATATTAGATTGGTGCATGTATCAAGTTAGTATATTAGACTCGTACCTGTCTTAAGACATAATGTTTGACTCTTTTATGTATAAAGTGATTACGTTAGATTCATGCACTAGATTCGTCCAAGTACTAAACCCTAAAAACATGACTCGTGCATTTTGAAAGACCTTAAATTAGGGTATTCGTGCAAGACAAATTTGTCCCCGAAGGGCAAATCTCTGCATTTTCCAATTAATTTTTGGACATTATATCATATTGTTTCTTAATATATCATTTTTTGTATCGGCATGCATGTAACGGAATACAGAAGCAACTTTACACTTATTCACTGATGTAGATTGTCGGTCGTATGGAAAGAAGAGATATTAACGTTATGCTTTATATTAAAATTACTGAATTATCCCTATGAGAATATGATCACAGAAAGGTTACAATAAAGAGTGTACTAAGAGTCGTTCCTTGGTAAATTAGTCCGGAAACATTTCTATTTTAGATAAACTTACCTGTAAACACTGGATTATCCATCAGATAGGTGCTAAGGTCTAAAATCCGTCGTAGATAAAATATACACCACGGACAGCTGGTAAAACTCCACAGGTATGTTAAGACGAGAAATGAACGCTGCAAGTGCAAGCGTCCCTGTCACACTCACAACACGTGCATCCTATAAATTGTAAAAGTCCGTCAATGACCATCAAAAATGACTATGACACTCAACCTGCGACGTCCCAGCTTTAACAATCTGAATTAGGTCAAATATCGCTTATGTTACCTTTTAAATACACATGTCAGATTGGCTACAAAGGCATTCCGGATGGTTCTACGCATACACCTTTTAACTGGCGCGGTTTGTAGGTATCCTCAATGTTTAGCTGTTCAACATTTGATCGATGCAAGCACTGTCAAATTTCAGCACATCTTATGTTATACCTACTAAACTGTTTAATTATTCCTTCGTTGACATTTTTACATTAATCCATCTGTCAAATACAGGACAAGTGTTTTTGTATCGGACAAAGCCTACAGGAGTCTTATGTCACGAGACATAACATGTTTACAGGCAGAGAGTGACGTTATTTACGGATATCTCTAACTCACCTGGTGACGGTTTAATCAAGCTCACCCGACACAGTTACCACCAATGAAATCTAGGTTATCGCGTGTAGTTACATTGATAAAAAGCTTCAACGAATGTCGGTTGCTGTATTGTGTTATCTCCTAGAGTTCCAACATAATCTATTCATTAACAGAATTGGCAATATCTATAATATATTTACTGTGATGTATTCATTACATAACGAGGAAACTGACAGGTATCATACACCATGCATGTTGTTATTTTGTACTCGGTATTGTCTTATCCTGATATAAATACTGTTAACCTCATATGTTATTATTTTGTAAATGTTATAAATATGTTCTTAATATGACGGGTAAATGGCATATTTTGTAAACCATGTACATTATTTTATTTTGTATTCGGCAATTTGTATTCATTTGTAAACCATATACATTATTTTATTTTGAATTCGGCAAGCTGTATTTATGTGTAAACCATGTACATTATTTTATTTTATATTCGGCAAGTTGTATTCATTTGTAAACCATGTACATTATTTTATTTTGTATTCGGCAAGCTGTATTTATGTGTAAACCATGTACATTATTTTGTTATTTTATATTCGGCAAGTTGTATTCATTTGTAAACCATGCACATTATTTTATTTTGTATTCGGCAAGCTGTATTTATTTGTAAACCATGTACATTATTTTATTTTGTATTCGGCAAGTTGTATTTATTTGACAACCATGTACATTATTTTATTTTGGATTCGGCAAGTTGTATTTATTTGACAACCATGTACATTATTTTATTTTGTATTCGGCAGGCTGCATTTATTTGAAAACCATGTACATTATTTTATTTTGTATTCTGCAATTTGTATTCATTTGTAAACCATGTACATTATTTTATTTTTAATTCGGCAAGCTGCATTTATTTGTAAAACATCTACATTATTTTATTTTGTATTCGGCAAGTTGTATTTATTTTACAACCATGTACATTATTTTGTTTTGTATTCGGCAAGCTGTATTTATTTGTCAACCATGTACATTATTTTGTTTTGTATTCGGCAAGCTGTATTTATTTGTAAACCGAGTACATGATCTTATTTTGTATTCGGCAAGTTGTATTCATTTGAAAACCATGTACATTATTTTATTTTGTATTCTGCAATTTGTATTCATTTGTAAACCATGTACATTATTTTATTTTTAATTCGGCAAGCTGCATTTATTTGTAAAACATCTACATTATTTTATTTTGTATTCGGCAAGTTGTATTTATTTGACAACCATGTACATTATTTTATTTTGTATTCGGCAATTTGTATTCATTTGTAAACCATGTACATTATTTTATTTTTAATTCGGCAAGCTGCATTTATTGGACAACCATGTACATTATTTTGTTTTGTATTCGGCAAGCTGTATTTATGTGTAAACCATGTACATTATTTTATTTTGTATTCGGCAATTTGTATTCATTTGTAAACCATGTACAACTTATGTATATTATTCATTTATGACTTGTAATTTAACGGCCAAATCGACGAAACTTTCTATTTTATTGATCAACCTTGATTATTGTACCAGGTAGATAGCTTACTGTCAGAGCCAGTATCGTCAGTAATACACGTGTTACGTGGAGGTCGTGACGTATGGTAAATCATGTAATTGTACAAAATACGGCCTGTCACGTTTAGTTTATAACATACACAGGTCAAATGTAAACTCCATTATGTTTATATGCTGATCAAGGATGTTCGCGTGAGTACGTCGTATCTGGTTCTATCTAACGATAAACGTTAAATCAATTATGTTAGTTTATATATTCAAACAAAATATGCATTGACATGGCTAACAATATCAAACCAATATCAAACCAGAGAACATTTTCCCTCCATTAACTTGTAACGTGAAGCATTTATACGAGGAAGACAAGATTCTTTTTTGATCTTTGAATTTCACTTTCAGATACCTGATGAGGATGTTTTATCCTTGAATACCAAAAAAAGTCAAGCAATAGTGACCATTCATTTATCACATACCTGTTGAATCTTGTTATAGTAATACAAGCAATTTTCAGACCATGAAATACAACGTTCTGTATTGCACATGTGCGATACGGAATGTTGTATTTACCTACTAGCCGGAACTACTTTTTTATGGGAATCCTCTTGTCATTGCGAACTGAAAAGTGTCCAGGTTTTGCAAAAAATATCAAAGTTTATAAAATCTTTGTATCGATCTCTACCAAATACGGAAGGTATGTGATAAAAGCAAGACCACACACTTGTGTTTTTCTAACGAACCAGAAAGCACTCATTTATTGCGCGGACGTATATATTCACACGTGCGCTCCGCGCACTCGTGAAAATATTCGTCCGCGCAATAAATGAGTGCTTGCATATTTATTCAACAATTATTTGAAAACTCCTTACGGTTTATTAATAGGGGCCTATCTAGCTAATCTATGACCGTTACCTAAAGTAGGATGACAATGGTCATTTCACTACCAAACTCCATTAACTTACCAACAGTATGAAAATAATGGACATCCCAATTCATAACGCATGACATTTACCCATAGTAAGATAGAAAAGGTCACCTCACAGACATAGGTTTACGGGCATATATATACCGACCGTATGGCAATATCAATTACCTTATTACCAAACTCTGACATTTATGTACAGTAAGAACAGAAAACAAAAGGTCACGTAACAACCAACCCTTATGGACGTTTGTCTGCAGTATGATAATGGTCACCTCACTAGCAAACAGGAAACTCCATGACATTATACCATAGTCTGACAGCAATGGGTCACTCCGTTATCATAATGACAGAAATGGTCACCTCACTAGCAAACAGGAAACTCTATGGTGTATACCAGAAATGGTCACCTCACAACCATAATCTACGGGTATTTGCCAACAATTTGACAAAACCGGTCACCTCATTACCAAACTCTATGACATTGTAGCTATGGTGTATACCAGGAATGGTCACCTCACAACCATAATATACGGGTATTTGCCAACAATTTGACAATACCGGTCACCTCATTACCAAACTCTATGACATTGTACCTAAATCACGACGAAAATTGACATGATTATTTAATCAATCTAATCATGATTGATAGAAACCTTCTAGCCCCTTTGTGTGTAGTTCAATGTCATCGTTGAAAAACTTCTTCAGAGCCTGTATCAAATAAGAAACTTTTAGAAAACATGCGTTGTATTCTGAAATGCATTACATTACATGGGTTCTCTACCTGTGATACTCTGGTCACTTAAACGAACAGTAATGTACAGCAGTAATCAAGACACGATTTACTACTTTCAGTTTCAGTAAAAGTAAATACTTGCTGACTTGTCTCAGGTCGTTGACCTAAATATCACCTGGGACTTCATTATTTTTCTTCCACTCGACAGAGAAGCACTGCTAAAACCCTATGCTACACAAGCGTGAACTGCACTGTAGTTTACGGGCAAGGTAAAACGTTATTATTTATTATCCCGATTAGTCAATGACTTTTTTTCTTTCAAATAGTTTAATGCATATTCAAATATGCGTCGTCCGCTGGTGTGTATGACACCGACAACAACTCCACGAGGCTCCATTTTCGCGCTACGTGTCTCACTCGACATCACACTAACAGTCGCTCGGGCACTAGAAAAAAAAGCTTGTTGATCATTTGTTTAAATTGAAATTTTATCGTTGTAAATTATTTCACGTGTCTTAAATATCGACAAGATGACTTGATTCAATACAATTTCAATTTTTAAAACAATATTATTTGTTGGACTATTTCGCCGGTATATTTGACGTACTTTGGGATATGAGTAAGTTGGTCACAAAATGTTGACGTTCAGCTTGCGACTGAGACGGGAAAGAGGAACAAAGTTGGAGATAATCGATGGTAAAAACGTCATATGATTGAAAAAGAATCTGTCATTCGTTCCCATTCATATTAGTTATTACATAAGTTTAGATAAAAACAAAAATATTTGCTCGCCAGAGCTTGCAAAAAATAAAAAATTGCAAACCCATTTTATTTATCTAATATAAAGGGTAACTTAAAGGGGCTATTTAGTCAAAAGAAAACCTGAAAATCAGGTCGATACTGAAAATATATATCTCTTAACGAACATTTACGTAGTGGTTAATGACATGACCTGAAACCATCGTCCAGTTTGATCAATTTCATCTTTTGCACTACGCTGTCTACCAACAACGCAATGTTACTTATGAGTCTGAGTAAACACAAAACACATTCTTGAATTTACACAATACGTCGCAAGTAAGAATTATAAGTATCATAATCTATACCTCTAATTAGATACTTTTGTTCATATTTAGATTTGAATAAAAGCATGCACGTACTGAGAGGGTGAAGCAGGGAGAATTTCAAACTGCCGAAAGTACGATAACAATAGGTTTAAACGTAAAATAAATCACTCATTTATAACACTGTTTGAGATGCTGTTGGAAGATGATTTTGATTCAGAATAAATGCATGTACTTGTTTTCCAGAGAGGCTGGGTAAATGAAGCGAGAAGTTACCTTCTTTCCTCGACATGAAAGACATTTTTGTTAGCTAGAAATTCACCGACAGCTGCCTGTACAGTTAAGGATTTCTACATTACAGATTAAAAACGCCAAAAAAACATTTGTCTCTTGTCAATTTCTCGACATGAATTGTTAATAGGGAGTATAAAACTATATAATCAGGAAGAATTTGGAGACAAGGTTATAAAAACACTTACTTCGCTAAATCGTCAATTTAAGACATATGCTCTAGATGTATTTCTCCTTTCATAAAAGGTCTTCAGCTGTTCTCAAGTCGTTCTGACGACCAGTGATCTGATAATTCGTTCTTGTGTGTCGACGCTATGTTGTAGGTTTTCGTTGTTTGATATTGCCACTATAGTAAAGATTGGAGATGAAGGAGGAAATTGTTGCATATGTTCAGTTGATGATAAGTCGTATTTTTTTTACAAAGATAAATCAAATTAAAAACAAAAAATACAAATTCTATTTCATCTCAAATTCACCTGTGCTCACGTCAGTTAACGACGTGACGAGGACCCATTTGTCACGCTTTATGTCTATTTACATTATGACTTAATGAGAACTGTCAATCAAACTCACTTTCGTCTTCAACACTTACCTAGTACCTAGCGACTGCCCCTTGCGGTAGAGGGCATGCGATCGTAGATTTCAGACATCTGAACCATTCGGTCAACAAGACCCCCTTTTATGTATAAATCTACCCTGAATAGAAAATTAGGATTTTGATGCTACGCATGCTTACAAAAAAGCAAAACCGTGATCGTGTTGTATCTAGTACTTTAATCATTGACTTATTACAGAACTCTCCGGTATGAAAAAGGAAAAAAGTATGCATAAATATGCCATCAGCAATTTAAAGGGAAAAACTGTAACTGAGTTTGTACTCCTCGGTTGTTATCCTTTGATCACACCGACAAATTCAAACAGAAATATGTTCCGAACATTTAAGTTCACTTAATGCTATAGAAACGTGACGCCATTATTCCGTCCACGACGTCGTTTTGTCCGCCGTCGTTGTTTGATTCGAGTTTAATAAAATTGAATATTAAAACGAGTTAATGCTGGTATTTGATAAATGCAATCCCACACATTTGTGTCAATCTGATGTCTCAGAATCCCTCTTGAAATGTATCCATAGGCGCAAAAAACACCCGTGCCGTCTGTGTATCATTGCCCATATATTCTGCTGAAAGTGCTCTAAATGAATGTCGTATATAAAGCAATTTTCAATCAAGATTTATTTTTAAATTTCTAACATAACAAAACATGTGTGGTTAAACATTGTTATCCATTCATAATACTGCTTACGTAATAAAACATCGTAGAATTTCCTATTTCATAGCATTGATTTGTTGTGGAATAATCATATAATCTTGCATAGGTAGACAGTCTAATATAACAAAGGTAGAATATGCAAGTGTACATGTACAACTACAATAAACACTGTAGCCCGCGTCAACTACTGTGAGGCCAGTGTTCTTAGTGTAGTATGTACGGCGATATTACTAGTAGCATGTTTAACATGTGACACTACTGTGAGGCCAGTGTTCTACGTGTAGTATGTACGGCGATATTACTAGTAGCATGTTTAACATGTGACACTACTGTGAGGCCAGTGTTCTACGTGTAGTATGTACGGCGATATTACTAGTAGCATGTTTAACATGTGACACTACTGTGAGGCCAGTGTTCTACGTGTAGTATGTACGGCGATATTACTAGTAGCATGTTTAACATGTGACACTACTGTGAGGCCAGTGTTCTACGTGTAGTATGTACGGCGATATTACTAGTAGCATGTTTAACATGTGACACTACTGTGAGGCCAGTGTCCTACGTGTAGTAAGTACGGAGATATTGCTAGTAGCATGTTTAACATGTGACACTGCTGTGAGGCCAGTGTCCTACGTGTAGTAAGTACGGCGATATTACTAGTAGCATGTTTAACATGTGACACTACTGCGAAGCCAGTGTTCTACGTGTAGTATGTACGGCGATATTAATAGTAGCATGTTTAACATGTGACACTACTGCGAAGCCAGTGTTCTACGAGTAGTATGTACGGCGATATTACTAGTAGTATGTTTAACATGTGGCACTACTGTGAAGCCAGTGTTCTAAGTGTAGTATGTACAGCGATATTACTAGTAGCATGTTTAACATATGACACTACTGTGAGGCCAGTGTCCTACGTGAAGTATGTACGGAGATATTGCTAGTAGCATGTTTAAAATGTGACACTGCTGTGAGGCCAGTGTCCTACGTGTATTATGTACGGCGATATTACTAGTAGCATATTTAACATGTGACACTACTGTGAGGCTAGTGTCCTACGTGTAGTAAGTACGGCGCTATTACTAGTAGCATGTTTAACATGTGATACTACTGTGAGGCCAGTGTTCTACGTGTAGTATGTACGGCGAAATTCTTAGTAGCATGTTTAACATGTGACACAACTGTGAGGCCAGTGTCCTACGTGTAGTATGTACGGCGATATTACTAGTAGTATGTTTAACATGTGACACTACTGTGAGGCTAGTGTCCTACGTGTAGTAAGTACGGCGCTATTACTAGTAGCATGTTTAACATGTGACACTACTTTGAGGCCAGTGTTCTACGTGTAGTATACATGTTTAACATGTGGCACTACTGTGAAGCCAGTGTTCTACGTGTAGTATTTACGGCGATATTACTAGTAACATGTTTAACATGTGGCACTACTGTGAAGCCAGTGTTCTACGTGTAGTATGTACAGCGATATTACTAGTAGCATGTTTAACATGTGACACTACTGTGAGGCCAGTGTTCTACGTGTAGTATGTACGGCGATATTACTAGTAGCATGTTTAACATGTGACACTACTGTGAGGCCAGTGTTCTACGTGTAGTATGTACGGCGATATTACTAGTAGCATGTTTAACATGTGACACTACTGTGAGGCCAGTGTTCTACGTGTAGTATGTACGGCGATATTACTAGTAGCATGTTTAACATGTGACACTACTGTGAGGCCAGTGTTCTACGTGTAGTATGTACGGCGATATTACTAGTAGCATGTTTAACATGTGACACTACTGTGAGGCCAGTGTTCTACGTGTAGTATGTACGGCGATATTACTAGTAGCATGTTTAACATGTGACACTACTGTGAGGCCAGTGTTCTACGTGTAGTATGTACGGCGATATTACTAGTAGCATGTTTAACATGTGACACTACTGTGAGGCCAGTGTCCTACGTGTTGTATGTACGGCGATATTACTAGTAACATGTTTAACATGTGGCACTACTGTGAGGCCAGTGGTCTACGTGTTGTATGTACGGCGATATTAATAGTAACATGTTTAACATGTGACACTTCTGTGAGGCCAGTGTCCTACGTGTATTATGTACGGCGATATTACTAGTAGCATGTTTAACATGTGACACTACTGTGAGGCCAGTGTTCTACGTGTAGTATGTACGGCGATATTACTAGTAGCATGTTTAACATGTGGCACTACTGTGAAGCCAGTGTTCTACGTGTAGTATGTACGGTGATATTACTAGTAGCATCTGTAACATGTGACGCTACTGTGAGGCCAGTGTTCTACGTGTAGTATGTACGGCGATATTACTAGTAGCATGTTTAACATGTGGCACTACTGTGAAGCCAGTGTTCTACGTGTAGTATGTCCGGCGATATTGATAGTAGCATGTTTAACAGGTGACACTACTGTGAGGCAAGTGTTCTACGTGTAGTATGCACGGCGATATTACTAGTAGCATGTTTAACATGTGATACTACTGTGAGGCCAGTGTTCTACGTGTAGTATGTACGGCGATATTACTAGTAGCATGTTTAACATGTGACACTACTGTGAGGCCAGTGTTCTATGTGTAGTATGTACGGCGATATTGATAGTAGCATGTTTAACATGTGACACTACTGTGACGCCAGTGATCTACGTGTTGTATGTACGGCGATATTGATAGTAGCATGTTTAACATGTGACCCTTCTGTGAGGCCAGTGTTCTACGTGTTGTATGTACGGCGATATTACTAGTAGCATGTTTAACATGTGACACTACTGTAAGGCCAGTGTTCTACGTGTATTATGTACGGCGATATTACTAGTAGCATGTTTAACATGTGGCACTACTGTGAGGCCAGTGTCCTACGGGTATTATGTACGGCGATATTACTAGTAGCATGTTTAACTGGTGACACCACTGTGAGGCCAGTGTCCTACGTGTAGTATGTACGGCGATATTACTAGTAGTATGTTTAACATGTGACACTACTGTGAGGTCAGTGTTCTACGTGTAGTTTGTACGGCGATATTACTAGTAGCATGTTTAACTGGTGACACCACTGTGAGGCCAGTGTCCTACGTGTAGTATGTAAGGCGATATTACTAGTAGCATGTTTAACATGTGGCACTACTGTGAGGCCAGTGTCCTACGTGTAGTATGTACGGAGATATTGATAGTAGCATGTTTAACATGTGACCCTTCTGTGAGGCCAGTGTTCTACGTGTTGTATGTAAGGCGATATTACTAGTAGCATGTTTAACATGTGGCACTACTGTGAGGCCAGTGTCCTACGTGTAGTATGTACGGCGATATTACTAGAAGCATGTTTAACATGTGACACTACTGTAAGGCCAGTGTTCTACGTGTAGTATGTACGGCGATATTACTAGTAGCATGTTTAACATGTGACACTACTAAACTGCAGATCTGATGCCGATTTCATAGTGCAATCTCACTGAAATACCAAACCGAAGGCAGCAATCATATTATTCCAACCATTCACATTATACTGATAACGGGTGAGCCAGTCGTGCCATTTCCCTACCTGCTGATTGTCAAACAAGGAATAATAACTGTAATATTTTAAGGAATTGAGTATGTCCCGGCATTGAGATTAAAACCAACAATGGTGTCTCGACAAGCAAGGTACTGGGAAATAGAAGGTACATGAAGCTAGAAGTGGAAATGAATAGAAATATCACAAATATTGCAATAGGTGAAGCAGATTTGTGTTTTGGTCGCTTAAATAAATGTCCCCAGTTAGAGGTCACAAACGTAAGTTCCATTTTCTGCAAGCGGGTAACGTTAACCTTAGCAGTCGCCTTTTACGATCATGCGGGGGGTAGCAACAGGTATTTTCCTTTCTCAAGTATTCCTGAGTAGGTCATACTCGGTTCAACTCGGTGTTTCCGTGTACTTCTCTTGAAGTCACACTTTATTGTACAGTCATAGATCTATAATTCCTACTAAATGCCAGGATATACATCAGAAGTACCTGACAGATAAGATATCGTGTTCACATGCTATATAAGGTTGTGCCCTATCTGCATAGCCTCATTGTATCTTAAGATTTCTCTCAATCTCGATGAGTAGAATTCAAACAAGTCGACTTACAATGTGGCCAGCATTGCTCTGTACTTTGACTCTGGTTGGAGTTGCTTCAGCAAGTATCTCGGGCCACATCACAGCCGACTCGTGTTTATGCCTAACCACGAGCGGAGTGCACGCCAGGACAGGAGGTAACGTATCACAACGATAGGTGACACACTTTGGAGAACTGTCCGTTTCTACGACAGACATTTCTTCAAAACAATATTAATGCGCAACACTAAACTCTCATTACTTTAGATACTTTCAGTTTGTCCTTCATTACAAATCATTGTACATTTGTCATTTAAGTCCAAACATTGTTTCACCCTGATTTGAATTTGAATTTAGAGTTTTCCACTCTATCACTCTTTTCACTTAAAAATCTAATATGTGTGATATCTAAGAAAAGAGCTTCATTCCAGTATTGATATATCATTTTACATTCACCAATAGTCAATTCCTGTTTTTTTTGTTTTTATATTCTAACATATATTGTTCCCGATAGTACCCATGTTGACGATATCAACCAAGTTTGTCCACTCTTTGCTCGACAGCTGGTCTCGGTCACTCAGTAGTGGCCACGTTGAACTACGGTGAGTGCTATAAGTCCAGTGGGGATATGCTGACACATGACGGGTATCACTGGTACGAGCTCCAGCACGTGCACGGACATCACGTGAGTAAATATAAGTGACCACCATATGCGCATGAATAAAAATTGATTAAAGTCAGCGTAACTTTTACGGCTTCGGTAAAATTAGCAACATAAGTCATTGTTTTCGTGGTTTTATATTTTAAAAAAAAATGATCATGTTTCTAAAAACAACATTATTTTGCAATTTCAACGCTAAGAGTGACACTGGAGTAATAGTAACAGCCAATATCTCAACTTCATGGGGAACATACAGCTGGTGCGGCCATTTCGGCGCTCACAGCTAGCATTCCACAATTCCAGCACTGCCCAACCACGTAATCATTTACAGATGAGTAGACTGGAACGAGCGGAGTAAAGTATCTTGCTCAAAGATTCAACACAGTGCCGTGACGTGACTCGAACCTAAAACCCTTCGGTCACGAGCCCGGCGTAGAAATCTAAAATGGCCGTCTTAAACTCTGATAGGCTAAGATAGTTTCGATCTCTTCTCAATCTTACCAGACTGATGTCAATAATTATCTCTATGTCAAGAAAGGATAATGTTCTGAGTTTTGTCTATAGTGTTCTCTGATTGGTTAAAACAGCTTTAACTACCGTATTTATCCGGTGATAAACATTACCGTTATTAGCCGCTAAGCTATTTGTTAAGTGGTCAGACGGCATCCCTTACAATGGAGGCTCTGCATTATAATTTGACAAGAAAGTAAGTGAAACAGACTTGGTTTTGATATTCAGGAATTCTAGACCAATATGTTATTTTGTCTTTTTAAGTGTACTTAACCATATAGTTATTTATCCGCCAAAAATAAATCACTAACTGATAATCATAATTCACTAACCATAAAATGTAGTTTGCAATAAAGTTATATGTTTATGATGCATTTATATTTCTTCGATACAGTTGTAATGTTACAAAAGATAATCTCTTGTCTTCTTGTGGATTTTTTTTAATACAGAGCGTTTGGGTTGCCGGAAACTATCTGATGACGTCATCCTTGTCACACTGTGGAGGCACTAGTGGAACAGAAGGCCATTTTAACTCCAGTAGTAAGGCGACTACCCATCCCTACGCTACAGGTGATGTTCGAGTGGAGTAATCTGTAACCTCCAATAAGTATTGAATTGCTTAATCCGAATATGGCTTCCGTCGTGATATTATCGGCAAATATTTCATTACTTTGTGCAACAAATGACCAAAATTATAAAAATCATTGGCCGATTTTTTAAAATTTTGGTGATTTGTTGCTTTTAAACTGTCCCTAACGCGGTACTCACTTTAAGGACGTGACATTGCTTGGATTGCATGACGTTTGTCGTCTTGCCTTTCGGAACACGTGATCTTATTCTCCTTGTACTTTTTCAGGGTTTATTATGTTAATAATATAAAAGGAGGTTCAGCCGCTGGTAGGTAGGGAATACCCAACGAATTGCATAATTGTCACACTGACTTACAATACTGATGTCTCACCTTATTATTCATATATATTATGATACTTGTGTTTTATGCTTTGAATGTTATGTTTTTGGTGACATGTATATCAGGATACCGTTGAGGTAAAAGGAAGCCAACTTTATCGTAGAGTACAAAGATGAGCCGCTGAGGTTCTGTACGTTTGATCCCAAGTCATTGTAATCATAACATGGTTGTTATATCATACATCAATCTACACTCTAATGTACACGGGTCATCTTAATTTTTATATCTAACAAAAACAAATGTTAGTTTAATATGTAGTTCATTCGACACATACGAATGATTACTTTCTAATATTGTCATATGATATACATTCAAGGCTTATTAATTATACAGGGGCTGAATGGATTTTTTTTTAAATTTTCATACCGGCATGAAAAATTAAAAAAAAAAGCCCTTTAATCAGTATATTTACATTTTTACTAAATAAGAATTGTTTAATTTTATTTATTTGTTCTTAAAAAATAATTAATTTACTCCGTTTAGTTTATGCGTCGTCCTTTAAACGACAATGGCATAACAGCCCTATTTAAATAAAAACTGGCGCCAATATTTAACCGTAGACATTTAAGCGTTTCACACAGGGGCAGACAAGACTCTCATTGAACGAGGTTATTCTATAACGTCATAAGTAAACCACGTAAAACGTCACGACAGTTTCTGTTAAATACTAAAACGAGATGCATTTCTGCTATTAATGTTCATATAGTGGGTTGCAGCGCAAATGTAAATATAAAACAATGATACAAGAATTACTTTCTAATATCGTCATGTGATACAACGATAGAAGAAATTGTATTAGAATTTACCTAAGAGTATGGGGTATGAGTAATTGGAGTTACCTCCCCTACGCTGTTAAGCTGTATGTATATCTAAAATTACAAAAAAAAGTCTCCCATGTCAAACTTGTTGATCGAATTTAAAGAGGGTATCCAGCAGGTAATACATAATAAAACAATACCAATTACTTAAAAGTACGTTATTTCGTTTATGCCCAAATAAAAAAGGGAAATGACTCAACGCACATTATCAATAAAACAAAGTATTTTCAGCAACAATAATGGTTTATTCGTCAGTTACGTCACTTCTCTTAGATATTATATAGATAACTAATGTTGCCAGATGACAGAGTGTCTATTTCGACGTATCAGGTGGTAAAACTGACGGAAAATGAACCTTACTAATAAGTGAACATAAACCTTTAAAGTAATGTTTGCCCTTCATCTGGACGTGCAGTGAAACTAAGTGCGGTCCCCACGACGTGTTTTATTGTTAAAACGTGAGATGTCAGGTCACTATCATGGTAGTATCGACATTGAGGTCAATGTTAACCGAAACTAGTGCAAAAGAAATCCGTATGGTTAAAACGTGTATACTTACCTATGACTGAAGGTTTGGTCAACATTATACATACATAAAAAAATGGAAAAATTAAAAGCGGATATTTCGCCCAAATTAACTAAAATAAAAAAAACGCGAACATTTTGCACATCGCCAATATCACCAACTTCATGGTATAAATCCTCTCATAACAACATTCGAATAATGTTTTCTCTCGATGTTTTTTCTCGTGTTTCTAGTGCTGAATCAGTTTCAGTAAAGTATACAAGTTGTTTGCTAGATAATATTTTATATTTTCGAAATATTTTTTATGATAAGTAATTTATTGAATGTTGACCTGATGAAATCAGAATCTAATAAATGATTACTGTTTTGTGTTTTTCGAGACTTCAACGTTTATTGATAAGAATAGAACAGCAATACATAAGAAACAATGTTGTATGGTTGTTCTGGAGAGTTTAATGATCTTACTGGTTAAACCTGCATCGAGTCGCCGTCATCAGCCATTACTCCCCGTGTACGTATATTTCCGTCATCAGCCATAACTCCCCGTGTACGTATATTTCCGTCATCAGCCATTGATCCCCGTGTACGTATATTTCCGTCATCTACCATTACTCCCCGTGTACGTATATTTCCGTCATCTACCATTCCTCCCCGTGTACGTATATTTCCGTCATCTACCATTCCTCCCCGTGTACGTATATTTCCGTCATCTGCCATTGCTCCCCGTGTACGTATATTTCCGTCATCTGCCATAACTCCCCGTGTACGTATATTTCCGTCATCGGCCATTGATCCCCGTGTACGTATATTTCCGTCATCTACCATTCCTCCCCGTGTACGTATATTTCCGTCATCAGCCATTGATCCCCGTGTACGTATATTTCCGTCATCTACCATTACTCTCCGTGTACGTATATTTCCGTCATTAGCCATTCCTCCCCGTGTACGTATATTTCCGTCATCTGCCATTTCTTCCCGTGTACGTATATTTCCGTCATCTGCCATTCCTCCCCGTGAACGTATATTCCGTCATCAGCCATTACTCCCCGTGTACGTATATTTCTGTCATCAGCCATTACTCCCATGGCCAGTGTACGTATTTTTCCATCATCAGCCATTACTCCCCGTGTACGTATATTTCCTTCATCAGCCATAACTCCCCGTGTACGTATATTTCCGTCATCTGCCATTACTCCCCGTGTACGTATATACCCGTCATCTGCCATTACCCCCCGTGTACGTATATTTCCGTCATCAGCCATTCCTCCTCGTGTACGTATATTTCCGTCATCAGCCATTACTCCCTGTGTACGTATATTTCCGTCATCAGCCATTACTCTCCGTGTACGAATATTTCCGTCATTAGCCATTCTTCCGTGTACGTATATTTCCGTCATCAGCCATTACTCTCCGTGTACGTATATTTCCGTCATCTACCATTACTCCCTGTGAACGTATATTTCCGTCATCTGCCATTACTCCCCGTGTACGTATATACCCGTCATCTGCCATTACTCCCCGTGTACGTATATTCCCGTCATCTGCCATTACTCCCCGTGTACGTATATTCCCGTCATCTGCCATTACTCCCCGTGTACGTATATTTCCGTCATCTTCCATTACTTCCCGTGTACGTATATTTCCGTCATCTGCCATTACTCCCCCTGTACGTATATTTCCGTCATCAGCCATTACTCCCTGTGTACGTATATTTCCGTCATCAGCCATTACTCTCCGTGTACGAATATTTCCGTCATTAGCCATTCTTCCGTGTACGTATATTTCCGTCATCAGTCATTACTCCCCGTGTACGTATATTTCCGTCATCTGCCATTGCTCCCCGTGTACGTATATTTCCGTCATCTACCATTACTCCCCGTGTACGTATATTTCCGTCATCAGCCATTCCTCCTCGTGTACGTATATTTCCGTCATCAGCCATTACTCTCCGTGTACGTATATTTCCGTCATTAGCCATTCTTCCGTGTACGTATATTTCCGTCATCAGTCATTACTCCCCCNTATTTCCGTCATCAGCCATTACTCCCCGTGTACGTATATTTCCGTCATCTGCCATTACTCCCCGTGTACGTATATTTCCGTCATCTGCCATTACTCCCCGTGTGCGTATATTTCCCTCATCAGCCATTACTCCCAGTGTACGTATATTTCCGTCATCAGCCATTACTCCCAGTGTACGTATATTTCCGTCATCTGCCATTACTCCCCGTGTGCGTATATTCCCTCATCAGCCATTACTCCCAGTGTACGTATATTTCCGTCATCTGCCATTACTCCCAGTGTACGTATATTTCCGTCATCTGCCATTACTCCCCGTGTGCGTATATTTCCCTCATCAGCCATTACTCCCAGTGTACGTATATTTCCGTCATCAGCCATTACACTCCGTGTACGTATATTTCCGTCATCAGCCATTGCTCCCCGTGTACGTATATTTCCGTCATCAGCCATTACTCCCCGTGCACGTATATTTCTATCACTTTTCCCGCCACCTCGATGATAAACGCGTTATTATGATATATTTTCCTATTTTCAGGCGTTGTGTCCCAGCATTGTCTGAGTTGTATTTGTCAGGTAAGATTATCAACCTCTAGTTCGAGATTCTCGTTCTAAAGTCTTATTAGTAGGGAACTACAAAATGAACTAGTTCCAAGCTGAACATTTTTCGATAGCCTTCAGTTGTCATGCTAACAGACCATCTAGTTAGGGCGTGTCTTTGTCAAAGTCGTGTAGTATCAGGTTTACCGTTACAAGAAATGTTAGACATAGCTACAGACGTTCAGTAAATAACTGTGTAACATGTACCTGTCTTTGCTTTAGCTTGAGTCCGGTTGCAAACCTTTAGGCTGTCATTTGGATGAGGGTACGGACTCCTGTGGATATTTCCAGATAAAGGAAGTGTACTGGCTTGACTGTGGGAAGCCAGGAGGCTGTAAGCATTTATAAATATGCAAACATGTATTTGACATTGTAGTGATATTAATGCTTAAAAATTGTATTGTCGCCGTGATCCAACTTTGATAGCAGTGTCATTGTTTGCGGGTTTACTTTTTCAATGTAAGGTAAATCTTTTTTTCACTTGTAGCCCTGGAAGCCTGTGCCGCTGACATGCAATGTTCATCGAGCTGTATCCAGCAGTATATGCACCGATACATAGGATATTCGAGATGTGTTCATAACTGCGAGAGCTACGCACGGATCCATAATGGCGGACCTGCCGGATGTCACCATAGCAACACACTTCACTATTGGAACAATATTCAAAAGTTAGGTTGCTCGGCCAACAGCTAAAATGTCTGACTTTTAACTAACTCGCAAATAAAGTATTATTCTTCAGTGTCAAAGTTACAAGTGTTGTCATTTAAAAGGTAATCAGTCACTTAAACGACGGGTATTACTCTTCCGGACAACAGAAGCTCTTCGTATCCCAAATCACCTACCAGTGTCCAGAGTAAAAGATAGAATTATTTACGTCATCTAATGTCGAAGTGACGTCAATCTTACCCCCGTTTTCCCCAGTGATGTCTTGCGGCTGCAAACGGAGCCTGAAGGAAACAACCCGTGCGTGTAGTAATTTCACTTCGACGACACCGTTTTGTTCCTAATTATAAATTTTGTTGTCCTTATTCATAGAATTGAGTACTTCACAGAGTTTTGAACACAGTTGTGATTAAAGAGTATGCTGTCTCTCTTACAGAATATTTGTATAACAGTAGACTAGACGAAACCTGGTAGATAACACATAAGTCATTGACAGAAGTAAGAGTACGGCACATAAATCTACTGAACGTATAAAAATATATGAAAGAGACAAAATTGATGACGCTAGATATATACAGATGTCACCAAGTTATTTAGTAACTAAACTGCATTTTAGAGTAAATCCTAAACAATAAATATCAACGGGCACTCTGTAAATGTTGATGGCCACAGTATTCTCTCTTTTGAGTAGTGGCGCGATTCATACACACTTTATTAATTAATAAAGATGGATTGAAAAGTGTTTGTCATAAACAATAGCATACTATCGTCTTCCTCCTTTTGAGACAATGTCGTTCCTTAAAACCTAGCAAATTTAAAAACAAAAAACAAAAAAAAACACGCCTATCCTCCAGTGACTAGTTAAGTGACGTCGAACGTCAGTAGCTCTATCGTGCCTCCTACATTTGACTACGAAACTACTTCCATCTTTCTGTATTTTGAGTAAAACATAAATACGACCCAGAACAAATTTCCTACATTAGTATCTCAATGGAATGTAACATGCAAGAGTGATAAGAACGAAGGCAACACAAACAAAGGACAAATCACTGTATGCCTGACATAACGAGCCCCTAGTACTGAAGACGAAACCAGATAATCTTGAATGTTAAGCGTTTCCAGAACCATGAGTAACATTCGTCAACGATCAGTACCTTGCCGGAACCGTTCCCTGTGTACTAATACACCTGCTGTTACCCACTGCATGATCGTAAGTCGAGGCTAATGTGGGAACCTCCTACAGAATTGGGATTAGTGTTTGTGCCCTCTACTTGGGGACACAAAAGCGACGTAAATAAATCTGCTGCACCATTGCAATATTTGGGATCATTGTATTTCTCTCTCCTTCTAATTACCATTCGTTTCCGAGCGCCTTCCTTTGCAACACCTCGCTTTCAGTTTTGATGTAGAACGTTCGCCCAGCTGTGGAAGGCAAAGGGTTCTGTCCTAATGTCGGGATAACCAAAGTCCTAAACATGGTAGTTGTTATTCCCTGCTAAGCGTTCAGCATTTAGGGGAATGGCAACACTATTTCACCTGTTGTCAGTATAATGACCGGGCGGAATGTTAAGCTGGGTGATCTTGAACGAACACACAAAGAACTAGAAAGTATTGTTAACTCTTCTCTCAGATACATAAAAGTACATGAACAGCACAGGATTATAAGTCTTCGATGACGACCAAATCTGTATGAACTAACACTGAGTGAAAAAACGAATGCCACACTATGGCCACCTATCAGATAAGATGGTTACAATTAAGATAAGGCTGATCCTACCGACACTGCCAACTCTAAGTGTGTGTTGACATCCCAACTCTCCCGAGGTGAAGGACTCGGATTTAACTGTGGAGATGTGGTCTATATTGTTATGGTTTGTGGTGATTTCTGAAGCTGCATCCTCCAGTATCTCAGGTCATTCCTCAGACTCGTGTTTGTGTAGTACAAAGAACGGTGTACATGCCAGGACTGGAGGTAAGAAGGTCAATGGACGATTATACGTCAATCACGAAAAAGCAGTGTGTGATCTTCCTGTTTTCAAAACATTGACATGATGTAAGAGTGAAAACCATTCAATCCCTGATGAAGGACTGATTCCGTTAACTTGGACCAAGAGTGGCTGTTGATTTTTATTCAGTGGAGTGTGTCCGGCTGTGAAAACCGTCTTTTTCATTTACTTGCTGCGTAACTATACATAATTTCTAGCACAATGCTTTTAACTATTTTTAACTCGTAGTTTAGCATATATGATAGTACTTATGATAATATTTTTCCAATTATCAAAAAACCTGATTTCAGATGAATCTAAAGATTTTACTCAAGCATCCTCTTCTTACCATCTGCTTGCACGTGTAATACTACTGAGACCAGCTACGTTCTAGAAGTTCCGCTTCAATTTCCGCTAAATTTCCCATACATATGTGCTGAAAGTAAGCAATTGGGTTTCCCTCTTAGCTTCACAGCTGGTCTCAGCCACTCAATATTGGTCACATTGAAGAACGGCGAATGTTTCAAGCCTTCAGGTGATGTTCTGACACATGACGGGTATCACTGGAACGAACTCCAGGACGTGCACGGCCATCACGTGAGTAAATATTAATTATTGATCAGCTCACGCGCATGTCTGGAATTATAAACATTCTTATCTTTGATTTCACGACATCAATATAAATGTTGAACAGGCAACGATAACGCGGTGCGTTCATAGATACTAGTTTTAAATACAATTTGATAAAGTATTTAAAACTAGATTATTATGCATCTTCAACTGCATGTGTGAGACCAATGCTGGAAAAAATGTCTCTAAACAATATCATCTGTTCCACGATGAAATCATTCATCTTCCAAGATTTAACAAACCGTTTTTTTTAAAAGTCCATAACCATCAGCAATAAAAACCATATACATACTGAATGAGAAATACGTTTCAAATATATGTTCTTTGTGGCAACCTTGCACAAATAGATACGATTATATGATACTTTTTATCTAAAAACTGCACTGCTTTCAGGAAAACGTTCACAACACCGATTTATATAATTATACACTTCAAAATATTCTGATACTCAATATCTTGGCATATCATTTAATGGAATAACATTCAACATGCTACATTATTTTTAAAGATTTGCACGGCTTTTTCCGATCTGTTGACGATAAGGTATTTATACATTGTAAGTTCATCTGCCTGAAGGACACACTTATGTCGTGACACACCATATATCGTCCGCCATTCAAATGTTCTCCTATAAAAGTGGGACACAAAGACATAAAACCAATCACATTCGACGAGGATATGCCTAAGGAACTTATTCTCTGGTTAATGATAGAAAGGGTTGATATCCCGTCCCCATACATATATAAAAAAAAAATCGTTAGGCATGACAAACGTATTCATGACAGATATCATGATTGGCCCAGTGGCCCGGCCCGGCCCGGCCGTGCCACTGGGGATTCTGGTTCGTGGTGCGTAAACGTGTAACATAGTGTAAACACGCAAGGACAAAATCCAAACTCAAAGTTAAATGGGAAAGATAAAAACAATACAGAAACAATAGAAATTACGACACTAACACCAACACACTACGGGGGTAAACCAATACCGAAACAATAGGAATGACAACACTAACACCAACACACTACGGGGGAAAACCAATACCGAAACAATAGGAATGACAACACTAACACCAACACACTACGGGGGTAAAAACAATACCGAAACAATAGAAATGACAACACTGACACCAATACACTACGCGGGGGTAAAAACAATACCGAAACAATAGAAATGACAACACTAACACCAATACACTACGGGGGTAAAAACAATACCGAAACAATAGGAATGACAACACTAACACCAACATACTACGGGGGTAAACACAATACCGAAACAATAGGTATGACAACACTAACACCAACATACTACGGGGGTAAACACAATACCGAAACAATAGGTATGACAACACTAACACCAACATACTACGGGGGTAAACACAATACCGAAACAATAGAAATGATAACACTAACACCAACACACTACGGGGGTAAACACAATACAGAAACAATAGGAATGACAACACTTACACCAACACACTACGGGGGTAAACAATACCGAACCAATAGGAATGACAACACTTACACCAACACACTACGGGGGTAAACACAATACTGAAACAATAGGAATGACAACACTAACACCAATACAATACGGGGGTAAAAACTATACCGAAACAATAGGAATGACAACACTGACACCAACGCACTACGGGGGTAAACACAACACCGAAACAATAGAAATGACAACACTAACACCAACACACTACGGGGATAAAAACTATACCGAAACAATAGGAATGACAACACTGACACCAATACACTACGAGGGTAAAGACTATACCGAAACAATAGGAATGACAACACTGACACCAACGCACTACGGGGGTAAACACAATACCGAAACAACAGGAATGACAACACTGACACCAATACACTACGAGGGTAAAGACTATACCGAAACAATAGGAATGACAACACTGACACCAACGCACTACGGGGGTAAACACAATACCGAAACAATAGAAATGATAACACTAACACCAACACACTACGGGGGTAAACCAATACCGAAACAATAGGAGTGACAACACTGACACCAACACACTACGGGGGTAAACTCAATACCGAAACAATAGGAATGACAACACTAACCCCAACACACTACGGGGGTAAAAACAATACCGAAACAATAGGAATGACAACACCAACACCAACACACTACGGGGTAAACACAATACCGAAACAATAGGAATATCAACCCTAACATCAACACACTACGGGGGTAAACACAATACCGAAGCAATAGGAATGACAACACTGACACCAATACACTACGAGGGTAAAGACTATACCGAAACAATAGGAATGACAACACTGACACCAACGCACTACGGGGGTAAACACAATACCGAAGCAATAGGAATGACAACACTGACACCAATACACTACGGGGGTAAACTATACAGAAACAATAGGAATGACAACACTAACACCAACACACTACGGGGGT